TATTAAGTTCTATAAAAAAAATAAAGAATTATAGTATAGTTATTTATGTATCAAGTCAGTAAAGTTGTATTTTTTATCACGAATTAATGACAGGTTGTGGTTGTTTAAAAGGAAATTTAATGGCCAGTGTGTTCATTTTTTCCTAGATGGGAATAATTTGAGTTTTATGATATAAATAGTCGTTTGAAAGGTTATGAAGAGTGGGTTTTGAAAATATATACCTAATCAGTTTTAACGACAATTCGTACAAAAATAAAAATGCTATGTTTGTACAATTATTTTTTATTAGATTTCTTAAAAATGTCCAAACTTAAATATGAATTGGGTAAAGTTAACATAAGTTAACCAACAAATATACGTACCGAATTGGATTCTTTGGCAAAACATGAAAATGTAACGATTTAGTTCTTGAATTACATTTACAATTAAAAACGCAATAATTCACCAATTTGGTGAAAACTTACCTTTTTATGTCCCAAATACACTGTAATTTATTTGATTTGAAATATTTATTATTTCGCCTTATTTTGACTTAATATCAAAAAAGCACCCTAATTTTCAATCGAAAATTCTCGCGTCAAAATATCAGCTTTTTTCAAAAAGTCGGTGTGCTTTTTGTTCGTTGAAATCTTTACTTTCTGATGATGTAAAAAAATATACATTACTATGGTAAATGTTCTCAGAAAATGCAAAAAGTATTATAATGAATAACGAAAAAAACTCGAATTCGAAAATTTATTTTAATCATTATGTACAATTTCATCAAAAAAATGTGATTGTTGCAATTTTTTTTAGTTAAAAAGTTTATTTATTAAATTCTAATAACATTTATGTCAGAAAATCTCATAAAATATAAAAATACATGTAAATCATACTATTGAATTTAGATACTTCATTCTGATTACGTTATTCATTATAATATTTTTTGTATTTTCTGAGAACATTTACCATAGTAATGTATATTTTTTTTACACCATCAGAAAGTAGAGAGTTCATCGAACAAAAAGCACACCGACTTTTTGAAAAAAGCTGATATTTTGACGCGAGAATTTTCGATTGAAAATTAGGGTGCTTTTTTGATATTAAGTCAAAATAAGGCAAAATAATAAATATTTCAAATCAAATAAATTACAGTGTATTTGGGACATAAAAAGGTAAGTTCTCAACAAATTTCGTGAAAAAATTTTTTTTTTTGAAAAAGATAAAAATAAAAAACCAAAAACTTGGTTTTTTGAATTTTTCACATAAATTTTGAGGTTATGTGAAAAAATTGTAAATACAAAAGTTGTAGATCTTTTTATTACCTACAACTTTGACATTTAACTTTTTTCCATAGGACTTGTAGTTTTGCCGGAAATCGAGATAAACCATTTTTTACGATAAAACCCCCCCTCCCACTTCCCGAACTCAGATCGCCCGTAATTTTTTTTTCCTTTAATTTTTATTATATTCCCCTCCTTTTCCAATGGGTTTCATCCTACTGTTATTTTTTTTCTCTTTTTACCATTTTTAAAGGCTTCTGCACTGGTCTATAGTGTTAGTGTTAAATTTTACAAACTGCTTAAAACTGTCAACTACCTCTATATAAACATATATTTTAGTGAAAGTTTGTTTTTTCTGCACATAAACATGTTTAATATGGTGTATTGGGTACCTATATTTATTTGTGTCGAAAATGTGCAATTAAAATTGTAATTTTATGGTATTTTATGGTGAAACCGAAACCGTTTTACTCAGAGCCGGCTTAAGGCAATTGAGCGCCTTAGGCACTTAAAAATTTGGCTCCTCTATTTAGATACTATACTTCCGGGGCCCGGGGCAAATTTTAAAAAAGCTTATTAGAGCCATCCCAAACTGTTAGCTTAAGGGCGCCCGAGCATTATAACCTAATTATTCCCTATGAATTAGAATACTTTTTATCATTAAAAGAATACATAAAAAACATAAATAACATACAAACATAACAAATATAATGTAAATAAAAAGTGGACTTATAAGTGCGTTTTTCTGCAAGATGTCATTAGTAAGTATTTAAAAAAAATTAAATCAACTTTAATTTTCTGTATTTGTATGTTAGATGTACTGCTGGTTTATTGTAATTAGTTTAATATTAAAATTTCGAAATACCTTAAAACAAACAGAAAAATTAACACTATCTAAAGGTGGATTTAGCCAGCATTTTGTGTAACGTAATCTAACGTAACGTAATTTAATTTAAAAGCCATGCTAAATCAACCTTAACTATCGAACACAGACTGCTATCACCAAACACACAACACATAGAAGATTTATTATTATTTGTTAGTTATACAGTATAATAAAATATCTTATTCTACTTCAAAACGCAGTGCCCTCGTAATCAAGCATGGTGATATAACACCTGATTAATTTTATCTGAAATACATTTATGTATTTGGCATAAAAACAGAAGTGAATTTGCGGTACGCTTTTTTGTCGGCTTTACAGTGTAAAGTTTACACCTCGTTATTACAAAGGAAGCTAAATTTTTATAAAATAATAAAAACAGTAAATAATATTCTGTTATTACAATTGTACATTGTTTATTTGTTTTATTTTTGGATAAAATAAACATTTTGGTAACAATTTTTATTTTTTTTTTAAGTTGCTTGGGGACAAGGCGCCTATTTCTACGTGGCGCCTAAGGCAATTGCCTTGCCTGCCTAATGGGTAATATGGCCCTGGTTTTACTTTTGAAATGGATTTTTGCTTCTTGGCCTTTTCGACCATATGAATAAATGAGTCAACAGCCTTGGATATAGCTTAAAATTTGCGCAATATTCCATTTTAAGAATTGTATTGGTAATTCAGTTTAAATGATAACAAACCAAAGTTTTTTAATTTCATTATTGTTGCAGAAGAAACAAACTGTTTATTTCATGTAAAAAAATTGAATATAAAATTTTATTATAAAAGTTATAAATATAATTTACATGGGTATTTTGGGAAAAGTTATGCTGAAGGTGCTGTATATACAGCACCTCTTACAAAAACTTCACAATTTATTTATAATACTTTTGATATTATACTATATTGATAGAATTAGTTTTTGTCCGACGCGCCGTGACGTAACTAAAATGAATTAAATTTGTAATCTAACCCTTTCTTTGCCTGGCCTATAATATACTATTTTAAATCACTTATTGGTAAATATAAAAAATAAATATGTATTTTTGATAAAAAACTTGTTTTGTTTTAATATGAATAAATTTTTAAAGTTAAAAGCGTTTTTATAATTTGTTTTACCCTTTAGCCCTAACATTTTTTGATTTTATCTACGTTTTTGAGTACATTACCATTTTACTACTTATAATTTATAAGTAAGGCTTCGAAAAGTACGATAAAAACCATTAGGCAAGTCTCTATAGGGTGAGTCATTTAACGTGAAACTTCGAAATATCTCAGTTAGTATGCATTTTACGAAAAAATGTTTAAAATAAAAATTAAATGATTCGAGGGGGGAAATCAATCAGTACTAAAATTGGTCCTCATACTCTCCTCCTTATAGGGGGAACAGGGGGTAACTTTAAAATTTCCACCCTATTTTTTATTGCAGATTCGACTAAAAATATGTAGATTTTGTCTAAATCATATTTTCATATTTGTAATATATGGCGCTATAATGAAAAAAAATTAATTTTGTTCGATTTTTCTTCTGTATAGGATTCTCTAATAATTTTGAAATAAAATACTTGGTTTTATTTTTTAAATTTTAATTAAACTAGGGTCAAAATTACGTCTTAAAGCCTTTGAAAAGAACAAAGAAATTTCGTTGAAGTTGGTGAAAATTTTATTTATGTGTCAACAAATTTGTTCTTGTAAAAGATTTATTAATTCTATTATACTTATAATAATTATATTTTAATTATAATAATTATATTATAGTTATAGTAGTATTCCTATCTGTTTCTTAAAGGCAATGCTCTTTTACCTACTCTTTTACAGGTACTAACAACACCTTTTTAGGCATTTAGGCAAATGTTTTGAAAAATAAATGCAATTTTGCGAATGTAGAATACAACATATTAGAACGTGGGTATCTGACATATTTGGAAATATTCTCAAAAGCTTCCTAGAAGCTCCATAAGAAACCTTCTAAGAACATTCCAAAAACGCATTCTTAAAATGTTCTTAGGATACTTTTTAGGATGGTTTTATAAGAAGCTTTTAAGAATCTAAGTGCATCATTAAAAGGGTATTGTATGTTTTAAAAGTCCCTAAGAACATTCTTAGCAATAAGGGAAGGTTCTAAGAATATTCCATTATTCCGGGTCATATCTTCTTAGAAGATTCTTAAAATCAAATTTTGCTATCAGCTTGTTTTATTTTTAATTTTCTTTTTCTAAATTTAGTTTGATCCAGCCATTGTCGTAACTACGGTAAAATTTCATTTTCGGTCGCAGTTTCGGTTTTCGAATTTTTCCGGATGAAGGCTGAAAATAATTTAATTTAAATTTAAGTCTTCGGTTCAATCCCACTCGGGGAAATTACTTTTAGCGATTTTATTACAAAGTAAAAATGGCTGAACTTTTCAAAAAGTTTATAAATATTGTTAATTAACTTGAAAATATTTAGGAAACAATATTTACATAAAATTGCGAAATAAATATTGAAAAATATTAACGTGATATTTATGAATGTTCAGAAATATTTACGCGTAACAACCTTCTATAAATATTGTTCTCCAAATGGCCTGACAACATTTTTAAAACATATTAATTACGTGAGGTATTTTTCTGATAATTTGGACCCCTCCCTCCCCCTTGGTGAGATGTGGTAGACCCCCCATATCCCTCACGTGAGATTCTAGCCATTAAACTTTCTTTGATTGAACATGATAAACCCAAAAAATAAAAATTGATTACTTTATTACAAATTTAACATGAGATTTGCTGAGATTTTGCTAGACCCCTCCCCCCTGTGTTTCGCTCATTTCTTTGAGCAGTGTATTTATTTGTTTTTCATCCTTTTTTTTGTTTTAGGTTATCACTCAAAAGCGACGAATCCGAAGGCCTTAAATGCACGTGTCCACATTGCCCGAAAACGTTTTTTAAAACATATTCATTAAAAACGCACGTGGAAAGCCAACACGGCGATACTTTACAAAGAAAAAAATCCCAATGTCCAAATTGCGACAAACATTTTTCTCAACCGGAAAACATGAAGAGGCATTTAAATACGGTACATATAAAAAATCCAGTTATTTGTCGATATTGTGATAAACGTTTACCCTCTAAGTCTGCTAGATATACTCATATTAAAGTACATCACAAAGAGTTAAGATACATATGCAAACATTGCCCAAAAACTTTCAAGGCAAAAGTAAATTTCGACAACCATGTTCTAAACAAGCATGGAGATCTCTTAGGAATTACAAATAATAAATATAAATGTCCGCACTGCGACAAAAAACTTTCATGCTATACTAGTTTGAAAATGCATATAGATATACAACATAAAGGACAAGGGGAAAAACACAAATGTCCACAGTGCGACGTATATTTTTCCTATAAGGTAAACTTAAATAGGCATTTAAGGACGATACACAAGCCAAAAGGCGACGGACACAAATGTCCACATTGTGACAAAATACTTTCAACTGAAGAGCGTTTAAACAAGCATATAAAAAATCATCACACTAAAGCAGAAAAAATATATAAATGTTCATGTTGTGATAGTAAATTCGCATACCTAGCATCTTTGAAAGAGCACATAGAAACAAAACACGATGGTTTAAAGTATAGCTGTACACATTGCCCAAAAACTTTATCATCAAGGACTGGCTTAAAAACCCACATTAAAAACCAACATGGCAACCCCTTACAAAAAAAGAAATACAAATGTCCAGATTGCAACAGAAAATTTTTATCCGAATTTAATGTGAATAAGCACATACAAGAGGCACATAAGCGGCAAAGCAATAAATACAAATGTCCACATTGTAACGAAATACGTAAAACTGAAAAGGGTTTAAACAGGCATATAGAAAAACAACATACTAATAAAGCAGAAACATATAAATGTCCAATTTGTTGCAAAGACTTCTTAAAACAACATAGTATGAAAGGTCACCTAAGGAGAATGCACAGTGGTCTAAAATATAGCTGTACATTTTGCCCAAAAATTGTCACTGCAAAGTGTAACTTAAAATATCATGTGCACATTAAACACCGTCATGTCGATCCTTTAACAAGACCAAAGTTTAAATGTCCACATTGCGACAAAATGTTTTCTAGTGCAAGTAGTAAGCAAAGGCATGTTAAAATACAACACACATCGTATGTTAAATACAGTTGTAAGCATTGCCAAAAAGAGTTCAAAAGAAGTGATCAGGTAAAACGTCACATTCAAACCCAACACGGCGATCCATTGCAAAGAAAGAAATGCCCACATTGCGAACAAACCTTCAAAAGAAATGATACTTTAAAATGCCACATTCAAACTCAACATGGCGATCCCTTGCAAAGAAAAACATACCAATGTCCACATTGCCCAAAAGCCTTTAGATCTAATAATTATTTAAAATTCCACGTTCAAAACAAGCATGACTTACAAACATAAAAAATATAAATGACCACATTGCGACAAATTACCATCTAAACAGCAAACGGAAATCTTAAAGTTTTATCAGAACTGTATTGAATCGTGCTTTGTTTTTATATTTTTCGGCTCTATACCTATGCACAACTATATTTAAAGTCAAACTCAATGGTGTCTTACAAGATACATTATTTTGATTTTCTATATTCAACAGAGAGGTAGAAACTCGACCCTGTCGAATGGTGCAGTCATTTATGTCTCTAGAAATTATTAAAAAAGGGTTCAGTCCAATGGTGCAGCAACTTCGGATTCCTATTCTCTTCAGAGACATAGAAACTCAAGCTTTTCGAATTTTACTGGCAATGATTTTCGTTAATGTCCCCGAGAATTATACAAAAACAGCGCAATGCAATATCGCAACGGTTTCGACTTCTCTTTACTCTACCAAGTTATAGAAACTGGAGACTCTCTAATACTATTCTAGTCAATATTTCTGAGAGTATAAAAAGAGGGTGTAATATTGCAAGAAGTTTTAATCTTTTGATGGATGCAAGTAGTTTGATTATTCTCATTTCTGCATATGATTTTGTTGAAAATAATTCCTTTCTTTGGTTCCTTTGTCTGATTTTTATTTACCGTTACAATATGATGTTAAGTATATTTATGTATTATATAAAGTACCTATATTTGTATTAAAAATTTCAGAGGTTATGTTGAAAAAATGATCGATATGCTATTAAACTTTAATAATTTAGTAATGAGGTCTGTTGGTAGATCCTGCACATCTCCACTGGAAGTTTTATGTTAGTTCAGCAATATTTAAATCTGGTTGATCAAAAAGTATACACCAGTGCAGGTTATTGTAGCATCTACGAACAAATGAATTAATGGCCCATTGGCAATTATTCCTTTAGGAAAAATTTTCAACACAGTTTAATTAATTAATAAAATGAAAAAAATCATGTCGTATATAGTTTTTTTTGAAGCATAAAATAGTTTTCATTTTAATACTAGTTCAAAAGTGAAATTACGACCTCTATACTGTGGAGAGTATTGAAACGCTCGACTGACGAATACAAATCTATACCGTGGGGAGATTTAGAAAACTATATTCAAACGTGGCGTCATCCTATACACTTCTATAATTTTCCGTTTGCTGTGTAATATAACAAGTTTTAACAGGCACGTTAAAGTACACCAATTGCAGAAAAAGAATAATATTGTTCACATTGTATGGCACGCCGTTTTAACATTTTTAAAAAAAAAATTTTATTTAAAATTGTATTGCCTTAAAATTTTCCTAACTAAAAATTTTAGTTTTACATTTATAAATTTAAAATCTTTTCAACTATTATGTATTGAAAGACAAAATTTACTAACCAACAGTTCACTTCTGTATTAAACAATATTATTTTCTATAAATTTTTGCAAAAATTTCTAAAAATAATTTTTTAATAAATATAATTTCCCAAGTATAATTTATATGGGTGGCATTCTGTTAACTTAAATAAATATTTTATAAAATTATTGAGATTAATTTGGTAAAGTTAAATTTTTTAGTATTTAAAAATAGTATCAATTGGCTTAAGCCATTTGAAATAAAAACACATATAAAACATTTTCTACCAAAATAGTTTAAAAAGTTAAATTTTTGTAAACTCAAAACTATTGATAATCAAAAAATATTTTCAATATAAAATGCAACTGTAAAAGTTTAAGTTTAAAATTATTAATTTTAAAAAAATGGAATTTTAATATTTTATTCTTCAAAATTATTGGTTTAAATTTGTAAAGAGTCATTTAAATGATAGTCGATAAGTTTTCAATACAAAAATTTGAACACAACATTTAAATGTTAGTTTTAAATTTTAAAGTGCATTAAAAATTTATCGACTATCATTTAAATGACTCTTTACAAATTTAAACCAATAACTTTTATTTTTAACAATTTTAAATTGATACATTTTTAAGACAAAATTTATAACTTTACATTTAAATGTAAGTCGATAATTTTTAAATTACAAAGTGTAAACGTAGCTTTAGTACAAGGCACAAGATCGGAGCCACAATCCACACATGTTGTGTGGATTGTGATCGGAGCCACGCTGCAGCCAGTTTGATCCGCAGTGTTGCCAAATCGTGCTTGCTCCATAAATATTTGACCCGTTTTACAAATTATCGTAATGAAATGTTCCTTTATTACATAAATTTAATAATAGAACAACAACATTTTTAGTGCCTATTGTACTAAGTTAATTTGACAATTAAAAAACATCAACGGATCAAACTGGCTGCATCGTTGTCCACGATTCGAGGAACCGATCCCAGACTCTTGTGCCTTCTACTAAAGCTACGTTTACACTTTGTAATTTAAAAATTATCGACTTACATTTAAATGTAAAGTTATAAATTTTGTCTTAAAAATATATGACTTTAAAATTGTTAAAAATAAAAAATTTTGGTTTAAATTTGGAAAGAGTCATTTAAATGATAGTCGATAAATTTTTAATCCAAAAATTACTACTTTAAAATTTAAATCTTACATTTAATGTATTGTGAGAATTTTTGTATTAAAAATTTATCAACTATCATTTAAATGACTGTTTAAAAATTTAAACCAATAATTTTGTAGAATAAAATATTACAACCAAAACTTTTATAAATCAATATTTTTAAACATAAATTTTTACTGTTGCATTTTATATTTAAAATATTTTTTGACTATCAATTGTTTTGAGTTTAAAAAAATTTAAAGTCGTTTTTTCGCGTAAATACCATGAAATACCATGGTTATTAAACTTAACCTTGGTTAATAGTTAAGGCATTTTTGCGTTTAGAGTGCGTTCAAAAATCCTAACTATGACGTCACAAATACCAAACCATAAAACTATATCGCTGAGCTAGTTATTCAACGTGGTTAATAGTCTTTCTCTTTTTAATATATATTTTTCTCTGTTTCGATCTGTCAAAAAGTTGTTTACATTTGAAATTTAAAATAAGTAGGTAAACCGAATTTAAACTTTGTATTAAAATGGAAAACGGGGTGTTGTCAGTAAAAATAAATGATAGGGTGCTCCATATTGTGGAATCTCCACAAGTGGAGGAATTATATGCAGGTTTCTTTTATATTCTTCCTTATTTTGTATTAAACATGTAGGAGAATTGGATAACGTTTATTGAAAAAACTAGTACCTATAGAAAGAGAATATACTAGGTATAAGAAGAGGCAAAGAAATTTATTTACACCGGTAAAAGCATAGAAATTAAATATAAATAGGTAAAAACACATTTAAAAAATTATAGGTTATGAACAAGTAAACAAATGTCAAATGTTAGAAACCTAACCATGGTTATATGAATTAACTGTGACGTCATGACTTATTTAACCGTAGTATTACATAGTATTTACGCGAAAAAACGACTTAACTTTATAAACAGAGACAGAGTTTGTCTCTGTTATAAATTTCTGTTAAAACATAATTTAAGTGCTAAACTTTAATCTTTAAACTTTTATCCAATAAATGCTAAAACGGCGTGCCATAACATTGCGATCATAAATTTATTCATGCAAAATTTTAATACATTTTTAATTTTTTTTTAAATTGTTTTTTTGGCCGCGTAAATTTTTAATGACATATGTCATTAAAAATTTACGCGGCCAAAAAAACAATTTAAAAAAAAATTAAAAATGTATTAAAATTTTGATGCCTCTTAATTGTTCTTTACAGATTATTACCTAAAATTTTAAACTGGGAAGTAGAAGTTACTGTGCATGTGTGGCGATATAAAAATACATAAAGGAATTGTCAAAAATAATCTTACTTCGGAATATTGTCATTTTCATGTTAAAAAAGGTGTTGCGTATAGCACAATCCACACAAATGTGTGGATTGTGGCGTATAGTAAATTTAAAAGGAAGCGACGTACACGTCATCTATCAGCTGATCGGGCACGGTTGTCAATGTGATGCTAAAATCATTGCATCAAGTGAAAGTGGTAGTGCAACTACAGAGCGTTAGATGGCGTTTACATAAATAATACCATAGGGTCCCTTGATTTGGGACCCAGAAATCCCTGATAGCAAAATTTGATTTTAAGAATCTTCTTAGAAGATATGACCCGGAATAATGGAATATTCTTAGAACCTTCCCTTATTTCTAAGAATGTGGGACTTTTAAAACATTCAATAGATACCCTTTTAATGATGCAATTAGATTCTTAAAAGCTTCTTAAAACCTTCCTAAAAAGTATCCTAAGAACATTTTAAGAATACGTTTTTGGAATCTTCTTAGAAGGTTTCTTATGGAGCTTCTAGGAAGCTTTTAAGAATATTTCCAAATATGTCAGATACCCACGTTCTAATATGTTGTATTCTACGGCTGTGTTCCGTAGTTTACTGCCATTACTGTCAGTAATTTTACTGTCAGTAGCGGAAAAGGACCGTTCCGTAATTTATTCAGTACTGACGCACAGTGAAATTGGAACGCGCCTCAGTAGCAGCAGAAAGTGAAAATGGTTATGCAAGGTTATGATTTGTGATTTACTAACAATTGACAAACTTTACTTTCGGCACAGCAGAGAACATAAATAAAAAATAAATATAACAGCAGCGACTATAGCAATTGCAAGGGATTACCGATAAAAACAATAAAAAATCGACCTGTAGTTAACCAAGGATCATCATTCCAAAGAATTGAGCATATGCTTATATTATATAATATAGAAATTGAAACGCGTGTATTTTAAAGAGTTTTGCACTAATGCAATATATACCTACAACTTTAAAGTGTAATATTACACATATAAATCCCATTTATTTTTTTTATCTACGCCAGTGAGATAAGAACTTCTTATCCCACTCATTTTGAGTGAGATAAGAAGTTCATTAACGCACGCGTTTTTCTCTGCTTTTAAGCAATTAAATAAAAAAGTCAAAATGTCAAAATAACCCTAAATTAAGTTTTAGACAAAAATAATTACCGTTTATTTTTTCATTTAGAGGCGTACAATATACCTACGTG